AAGTCTAGAAATATAGGCTGGAGACAGATTGTAGAGGACATGAAATGTCAAAACAGAGGAGTTTGTATCTTACCATATCTCATCCTAGAGGCGGGAGGGAGTCATTGGAGTTCCTTGGGCAGGAGAATGATGTGGTGAAATCTGTGCTTTAGCATTTAAGGGAGAGTCTGAGGAGGGGGAGGGGGGCAAGCAGGCCAGGAAGTAAATGGAGTCCTGTGTGAGTTCAGCTGCTTTTCAGGTTTGACATTCAAGCTCATAGGTAGAAGAATTGAGGCCTCAGGTGTAGTGAGTGGACAGAGCCCTGCTTGGGAGTCAGAGGATATTTCCCAAATGGGTTGTGGTCCATCTTACAGTCTCAGAAGCATACATGGCCAACAGTATTATTGCACAGATGTTAATTGCTTTATTCGTATTATCTCCTTTGAGCCTTGTAACAGTCCTCTGAGGTAAGCACTACAGGCATTAATAGCTTTATTTTGCAAATGAGGAAACTGAGACTCAAAGGTGGAAGTGCCTTGCCCAGAGTCACTGGTGTCAGAAGCAGGCTTGTTACCTCAGGAAGGTAGTCATTGCAAGATTAGAGCAAGGAAAGGTGAATTGTTTACAAACCGTGCTCCCTGTAGCAAATGATTCTGTCTAAAAGCTAATCATAGCATCTTAGCTTGATAGATTTTCATCTGCTTGGGACCTTAGAGGTCAACCAAACCACCCCTCATTTTACAGATGAGGGATGTTAGGCCCAGAAGTGTTAAAGTATTTGCCTGGGGTCACATGGTTGGTAAGTGTTTCAAACCCAGGACCTAGAACTCCAAATCTGGGTCTCTGGATTTCTGCTATGGCCTCTTAAAGTGCTTTACTATCTATCTACCTCTCTGTGAGAATTATGACCCACGCTTTCCCTGTTTTGCCACTGCCCCACCGTGATCCAATAAGGGAGAACTTGGTACGATTGTGATGGATTAGGGTGATGCTGGCATGCACCAATATTGTGGGTAGTACAGTAGATTCTACACAGTCTAGAGACATTGCCAAAGTAGCTTCAGATCACCTCACCGGGCTGAACACATTCACAGTGGGAGCTTTCACTGGTGCCTGCCCAGGAGCAGAACCTTCACTTTCTTGCCCCTTTCCTTTCTTCCTGGAGCCTAGCCCTGATGACTTCTAGCTGGGGGGGGGGGGTGTTGGTCTGAGAGGAATTCTCAGTTTCTTCTCGTGTTTTTTTTTTTTTTTAAACAGTCACACGTAAGAAACATCGTGAGTGATCAGCTAAGAACGTCATCTGTGCAGAAAGCCAACCCTGTTTGGGCCCCACTCCTAACTGTGGTGAAATAGTTTAGAAAAATAGGAAGGGACATGCTTCCACACTTTCCTCTTCTTTGCCCTCCTCCGCATCCCCCTTGAAGAGAATGCTATGCCTTTGGCTGCCTCCCTTTGTAAGGGATGGGCTTTTGCTCCTGTTCCCTGGGACCTTCTTCCAATACACAATTCTTGTTCTTATCTGTGACAAACGACAGAAACCCAGCACCCACCTGGAGTAGGGTGGCAGGAAGCAGGATGGACAGGGAGAGAACCTGTAAAATGGAGATAATGACAGCAGCTTTCTCACAGGTTTCTTGGGAGGGGTATCAATGAGATAATATTATATATCATATTACATGTGTATGTGTATACATATATATGTGTCTATATGTATGTATGTATATATGTATGTATGAAGGTGTTTTGCCAATATGAAAGTACTATATAAATGTTTGACGTCCCTTCCAGTACTGACTACACTTTCTGTCATACCCCCGACTTACTGATAGTGGTGGGGACATCAAAATATTTCTCGTTCCCCATTGCTACTTCTAGACCTTCCCTCGACCACCTTCCCTAAGCAGTTTCTCCTTCTCTGAGGGTCACTCTGTCCAAATTTATCACTCCATCCAGATCCTGGAAGCCGTCATCTAGAGATTGATCTTCCTTCCTCTCCTCCCTAACTCTTGCCCACATTCTAGGGGACTTTCACATAGATTTCGATGCTCCCTCAGTGTTTCTTCCCCATACCCCAATGTCCTCAATTCCTCTGACCTTGTCATCACTCATAAATGTTTGTGAATTCCAATATTCCCTCATCTGACCAAATCTTTGATCATTCTATTTCTTCCTGTGCTTTATGATCCCTCACCCTCTTCTTGTGACCTCAGTTCTCTCATTGCCTCCGCTTATTACTCCTGTCCTGGCTACATTCTGTAACCTATTGATGAACCAGTTCTCCAACTTTGATTTCATTAACCCTTGGTTTTCTCATTGATCCATCATGCTTTGCCCCAGCCCTGGACTGTTCCCACCACAGACTTCCTTTGCTTCTATTCGCATGACATTGAAAGAATATCATGAAAAGAAAAAAAAAGCCACTGCATCTCACTTTCCACAGTAGCTATTCCAAACCTTCTCATCTCTCATTTGCCCCTTCTTGGTGCCCCCCTCCCTCTACCCTCTCTAGTGAGGTTTTTACCTCATATTTCACTGAAAAAATTGAAGCCATTTACCAAAAGTTCCCTCTTCTTCCCTCTTCCTTCCACATCTCCCATCACTCAGACATTGTCTGTCACTGTATCATCCTTCACTTCTTCTCAGATGAAGAGGTGACCCTTCTCTTTGCCAAGGGAAACCCCTCAGTATGCACCTCGATCTCATCCCTTCCTGGTTTTACCAGCAAATTATCCCTACTTTCAACCCAACTCGTTCTCTTATATACAATTTCTCCCTGTCTACAAGCTCCTTTCCTATTGCCTAAAATACGTCCATTTTTTTTTGATCCTTAAAAAAACCCTCTCACTTGATCCTACCATCCCTATTGGATGTCATCCTATATCTCTCCCTCTCTTCATGGCTGAATTCCTTCAGAAAGCTGTCTATAACTGATGCCTCTGCTTCCTCTTCTCTCACATTCTTCTAAACCCCCTCGTTCCACGCAAAGTTACCAGGTCTCCTAAATGCCAAATCCAAAGGCATTTGCTTTATCCTCATGCTCTTCGACCCCTTTGCAGGCTGACCGTGTTGCTCACCCTCTTTCCTCTGTAGGTTTTGGTGACACTCTTCTCTCCTGTTCACTCTTCCTCCCTCTGCACTTTTCACACTATAACATTTTGCTTGGCAGTCTGGTGTGCTCCCGTGGCGTCAATTACCTTTGGTATGAAGATGAGCCCCAGATTTATACATCCAGCCTTCATCTGTCTGTTGAGCTTCATTCACAAATCTCCACCTAACTCTTGGATGTCCTGTAAGGTATCTCAAACTCGACATGCCCAATACAAAATGAATTCTCTTCTCCTTTCCCCACTCCAATCTTCCCTGTCTCTGAATTTCTCTACCCCTGTCAAGGGCACCAACTACCTTCCCAGTCACCCAAGCTCACAAGTCACAGAGCATCTTCATCTTCTCACTCACCCCACATATCTAGTTCATCGCCAAATCTTATCTGTCTTTTCTTTCACAACATTTCTGCCCCCTTCTCTCTACTCGGACATCCTTGATCAAAGCCCTATCAGTTTCTCATCCTGACTACTGCAATAGCCTTCTGGTTGGTTTTCCTGCCTCATGCCTTTCCACACTCCAAGCCATCCTCTATCCAGCTGCCTAAGTGATATTTTAGTCTGACCTTGTTGCCTCCCAGCTCAAGGAGTTTCACAAGCTCCAGGATCAAATATAAATATATTATAAATATAAACTTGTCTTCCATTTAAAGCTCTTCATAATCTGGCCTCTTCCTTACATTTCCAGCCTTTCTACATTTTACTTCCCTCCTCCATACATGTCATGACCCACCTACAATAGCCTACTTGTCCACTCATTTATGTTATTGTAGGAATTCCTTTTGTGCACCGGTTGTGGTCCCTTTCAACTCTCAAATTCTGTGATTCTCTGATTTCGTTAGTGGAGGGAAATTTCAGTAGTTGATTCCCAGGGTGAAAACTCCCTCCTCCAATTAAGATCAGCAACTTATCTCTGACTTACAGTTTTAGAGACCTGCCTGGAGAACCAAGAAGTGAAGTGACTTATCCAAGATCATATAGCCAGTCTGTGTTAGAGGCTAGACTTGAATCTAGGTCTTCCTAACTCTAAGGCTGGCTTTTTTTTTGTTCTTTTTTTTTTTTAAAAGCCTGTGGAACTTAAAGAAAATCTCTCTGAAGTGGAATTGAATTGATGGACAATGATGACCAGGGAGGAGTTTAGCTTATTGACTGACTCACTTCCTTACCCTGAGCCTCAGTTTCCCCTTCTCTACTTCACGGGGTACAGCAGTGTGTGCTCTTATCATATTTATTATTTATATTCATCTAATTAATATAATTTCTAGACTTGGAGAGGTTCCTGGAACGGTAGGAGGTCGAGTGACTCTTTCTTTCATGGTCACAGAGCTAGTGTGTTAAAGTCTAGGCCTGAGCTCCTGGGCCCCAAGGCTGCCTCTCCATCTACTTATACTAATAATGGGAAAACTTACCTCTGAACATTTTTTTCATGGACTCTCATCAGTTGGGCAGGAAAGTATATGTGTGGCAGAAAAGAAAATCATTCAGAAAGCATAGATACCATGTTCAGAATTCTGTTTGGAGGGCAAGAGACGTGTTTTTTAAAAAATAGCCCAGAGCAACAGAAATAACAACAGTAACAGTGATAATAATAATAAACCTGTCATTTTTATAGCACTTTACACATGTTCTGTTATTTATTGCTCCCAACAGCCTTCTGAGGTAGGTTCATTTATTATCCCCATTATATAGAAGAGGAAATTGAGGCTGAGAAAAGTGTGTGTGGCAGAACTGGAATTTACATCTTCTGAATTCACAAGTCTCACGCTATGCCACTTTGCTGCCCCTAGAGATGAAAAATAACTGGAAAAGGGAAGCGAGGAGGTGCAGTAGACAGAGCATGGGCCCTGGAGTCAAGACGACCTGAGTTCAAATCTGGCCTCAGGCCAAAACGTGACACTTACTAGCTGTGTGACCCTGGGCAAGTCACTTAACCCCAATTGCCTCGCCAAAAAACAAAAGCAAAAAACCTGGAAAATAGAACGTTAAAGCACCCAAGACAGTGTCTGTTTATAAAGGAGAGGAATGAGAGGATGTCTGGTTACGAGGTCCACTTCATTACCCCTTCTCCTTTCAACCCTGCTAAAGTGATGTGACTTGTGCAGGGTCACACAGGTAGTGTCAGTGGAGAAGTTTGAAACTAGGTCTTCCTGACACCATACTGGGCACCCTATCCTCTTAACATGTTTCAGAACATTCATCTGTTGAGGATCAAACAGCAATTCGCTTTCCTGGGATCTGGCTCTGGCTGTGTGACCCTAGACTAGTCCTTTGACCTAACTGAGACTTGTTTTTATCTTCATCTAAAAAATGAGGGGACATGTGATAAAATATTTCTCCCTCCTACCTCTTGAGGTTGTTAAGAGATCAAATGAGATGATATTTACAGAGGGTTCTGCATATTTTAAAGCACTCTCCACATGAAGTTGCTATTTTTCCTTTTCAATTCCTGGGCCCTACGACATACTTATTCTGTGCCTGCACTGGGGATACAAACCTAAGACCCAAACAGTCCTTGCCCTCAGGTAGCTTACCTTCCTGGGGCTTTTCATCTTGCAAACCGTCTAGCTTGGACCCTTGGCAAGTTGCCATCAGACGGAACCCACACACTTTCTGCCATGATGCTCCCTTTTCACTGCTTCTGCTCCTCCACCCCAAGCCTTGAGGAGCAGTCAGCCCTGTCCCCAGAGTCCTTACCACCTCTGCAAGGGCATTTCAGAATTAAGAAAGCCCAGGAGGAAGCTGTCATCACATCCCTAACAGTCAGATTTTTCACCTGTCTCTTGGGTCAGGGCTGCCGCTGGTAGTCAGGCCTTATTTAGACCAGAAAACCCAGTATTTCCAGGCTTGCTGTGGAAACCTGTTTTATGTCTTTAAAAAAATTATAGGAAAAAAACCCCAAACAAATAAACCAGAAAAACAAAGCAACCCATCTGCATGGTTCCTTTCATTTGGCTGGGATTCAACTGGTTTCCCTAGGCCCAGGTTCATCAGAAGGGTAATGGGAGAGAGATTTTTCTGTTCTTTGCATTCCCATGATTAAACAACCATTTCGATCATCTGCTTTGGAGTCTCAACAAACAGTGGGCCCTGGCTCTGTGATTACTCCATATCTTCTTCCAGTTCGGTTGAGCCATCTTTGTATCAAAACCTGCCGAGTGCAGACAAAAATTACACACTGTCATTGGATTCAAATAAGATAACGGCATGGTTCAGGAGGCAGTTGAAAAATTCAAGTCAGAGGAAAGGCTGGCATTTCTCCCTGCACCCCATCCCAGTGCGTCTGGTGGGTCACCCCTGCCTTCTTCCCTCTCAAGCAGTCCAGGGCTGGAAAATCGACAGCATTCTGCTGGGTATTCTTTCTTGGGGATCCCCCCCTGTGCTTGCCACTCTGCTAATGGCAGATCGAGTGAGACCATAGCTGGGAAGCATGTTGTAAATCTTGGGGTTCCACACGGTTAGGTAGATGAGGAATTGTGGCTGCTTCCTCACCCTGAAAGGCCAACCAAGAGCCTTTAAATTACATCCTTGATGTCACTTGACTCAGTAGAGTGGAAAGGGCAGTGAATTTAAAGCCAAAAGACCTGGGTTCAAATCCCAGCTCTGCCATTGCCTGCTTATATGGCCTTGGGTGAGTCTCTTAACCTGGAAGGGCTGTTTGGAGAAGGGAGAGGCTGGAAGCCAGGAGTCCAGCCAGCACCTGAAGTAAGTCAGTGGTCTGGATGTGGTGAGAAGGGGACAGATAACAATAATCACAGGCCTAGGGCTAGGCAGCGAACCTGTGATTTTGTTAGGATAGGGAATTCCTGAGGAGGAAACTCCTTTACCAGATCTGGTTGGTACTTTCTCTGCAATTTAGGGTCTTAGCTGCCTCAAGCAATGAGAGGTTAAGAGATTTACCCAGGCTCACACAGCCAGCTTTATCATAAATGGAAAGAGTACTGGATTGGGGGGGTCAGAAGACCTGGGTTTGAATCCTGACTCTGCTACTTACTTGCTACATGACCATAGGGAAGATATGCCACATCTCTGGGCCTCAGTTTCCTCATTTGTAAGAAGTTGGGTTTCATGTCTGCTGAGGACCATTCCTTAGCAGGATTCTCTGATTCTATGAGACAGACAAACAATCAGTAAAAGAGACTGAGGAGGAGCAGTTGAAGAGAGAGAAGGGGAAGCAGGAGAGGAAACCAAGGGAAGAGAGAGTATCTCCAATGGGAGGGTGGTCAAGAAAAGCAGGTGAAGGAACGATAGAAAAGACATTCATCAAACCAAATTGAGAGTCGGTTCTCTTGTACCTCCCCCCATTTGCAGAGCAGTGACAGGAACCATGGAGAGAGTTTGGAAAGGAAGAAGAGAAGGCCTCAAGAGTTCTCTGGGCTCAGAGGCGGAAGGTCATGAGTTGAGGGCCAGATCGGAGAATCTCTGAGGTCCCTTTCACATCTCTGGGATTCTGGGAGCCAGCAGCAGGAGAAGAGGAGGAGGAGGAAGGCAGGAAAAGGAGGCAATGGCCTCCAGGAAGGTAGCCACCTACCATTCTGGAATTCCAAATCCAGGGGAGAGATTCCATGAGGAGGTTTTCACTTTAGCGAGCGACTGCTGCTACGGGTAGAGTAGTCACCCAGGCATCTGTGCCCAAGTCCTCAATCACTATTGGCAGGCTCAGGAGATAGATTCCTGGAGGGCTTTTGTCTAATTCTCTGCTTTCCTGAAGACTTCGTTTCGTGGCTAACTGGCCTTTGGCTCCTAAAGCCACTCAGATTTTCAGGCATTGTGGTGTTGGGAAAGAACATTGGACTTTGAAGCTGGAAAACCTATTTTCAAATCCTGTCTCCCCCACTTACTAGCTATGTGACCTCAAGTCACCTGATCTCTGTTTGCCTCGGTTTGCTTATCTGTAACATTGGGATAATGATAACTGTAGCACCCCATAGGATTGTTCATTGGAAGGACAAATAAAACAATACATGTAAAGTGCTTTGCAGAGAAATGTCAGTCATTGTTGTTATTATGATTATTTCTTGGCTAAGGAGACGATTCTTTTTTTTTTGTTTTGTTTTTGGCAATTGGGGTTAAGTGACTTGCCCAGGGTCACACAGCTAGTAAGTGTCAAGTGTTTGGTCTGAGGCCACATTTGAACTCAGGTCCTCCTGACTTAAGGGCCGGAGCTCTATCCACTGCGCCACCTAGCTGCCCCTTAAGGAGACAATTCTTCCAAAAATCTTTCCCTATCCCTACCCTAACCCTGACCCATGTCAGAATAGTGTCTACCAGTGTTCAGAAGAAAAGTCTAAATCTAACTTGCAGCTAGAAGTGAGAGAGATCATTTATTCTAGCCCTTGAATTTTACAGTTGAGGACACTGAGGCCCAGAGAAGTACAGCGATTTGCCCAGGGTCACACAGCTATGAGTGACAGAGTTGGAATTCGAACTCAGATCCTCCAAGTACGAATGCAGCCACCAAGTCCATCACAAAAAGCTGCCAGGGCCCAGTTGCTACTGCTGCTACACCTGCAGTCTTGGCAGCGAGCTAGGAATGTTGGTCCTGCCCCCATCTCTTTTGGGCCTTGCTGGTGTTTCCTCCACCCTACTCCTGCACTCCCTCAGACACATCAGAGAGTGACCAGGGCTTGGCCACTGCACTGATCCACTAGTCCCACTCTATCCTTGGGGCCCCTTGTTCCATTTCACAGATGGGCCAATTAAGGCCTTGAACCCAAAATTCAGTTAATGACAAATGGACATGGCTTGGCTTGTACCTGAAGATCATTTTTTAGGGGAGCATTTTCCCATAGGCTTCAGTTTCTCCTTCTTGAAAATGGGAGGGGGGAATCAGGGTGGCCTTCCCCCATGGTCCCTTTCAATTCCCGGGCTCTTATCCCACATAGGTTCTTGGGCATTCAGAGCAACCCAGCGTTACTTTGGGAGCGGTGGATATTGCAACCAGAAGGCACAAGCTGTTTCCCCAACCCCCCTCCCACCCACCACACACACACTTTCTATTTGCATCTAGATAAACATTTCCCTCTCCCTGCCCCTGACCTCAGGGTTATGGTGATACCCACCCTAGATGCTCTTGTTGGCATCCCATGTATATTTTATGTTTCCTCAAATGCTTGCCTCCACACAGCCAGCTCCTCCGAATACTCAGACGTTTTAATAAAAACCTCTTTGCTTAAAAATAGATGGAGACATGAGACACGCCTAATGACACCTTTATTTGCTCTAACTGGGTCCTGCGGGCTTGCATGTGTACTGGGGGCAGGGCCGGGGGAAGGGTTTACTTTTGGCTTTTGCCCTGAGCTACCCCCAAAAGAGGATGGGGCCAGGGGCTGAGGAGAGGCAGAGCAGAGCTCTCAGGGCCAAAGTTCTATTACACGTCACAGACCATGGCCCTGAGAATGAGGTATCAAGGTGTCATAATGAATGTAGAAGGACAGTCAGCTCTCTGCCCAAGCAGAGCCAACTGGGTGTCAAATGAACTCAATTCAACAAACATTAAGCACCTACTATATGTAGACAGCCACAATGTGAGAGCCACTGTATTAAGACAGGTAGAGGGCCAGGCTTGGGGCCAAGACCTAGACTCTAGTCCACCTTTGACACAAATTGGCTGGGTGACCCTGGGTAGATCATTTAACCCTTCCGTGTTCAAGGCAACTGTCCAAGACTCTGGGTTACTATGGGTGGAGTTTGCAAATTGAATCCCTTACAAATGCAACAAAACAAACAAAAAACCTACCACAAAACCCCAGATAAATATGGAAAAGGAGAGAGTCCTTGCGTGTGTGCGTGTGTGCGTGTGTGTGTGTGTGTGTGTGTGTGTGTGTGTGTGTGTATGGGAGGGGGTGTCAGGGATGGCTTTATGGGGGTGGCAGCCAAGCTAATGCTGGAGGACAGAGCACAGAAGCCAGAGTCAGAGATGAGCGGGCAAGGTGAGTAGGTAGGAGATGGAATGCCCAATGTGGCTGGAGAGTGGTTAGTGAGGTAGAGTGCTTCGGTCTCATCTGGACAGCCCAGGCAGGCAGCCTTCTTAATGTAAGAATTTCCAACTTCCTTCTCCTTTCTCTAAGGACCCAAGAGAAGTGGACACTAGGTCATTAATTTGTAGTGGGAAGGAACCTTAAGTGGCATCTGCTCTGTGCTGTCAAGCTCACATAGAAATAGGGGCCACTAAACCTCACATGAGGATCCCTGAGGGCCGCACATTGACTTAGAAAACCCCACATTCACATTATCTATGTTCTGTTATATTGCTATTTCTTTTATTAAATATTTCTCATTTACGTTTTGATGTGGTTCAGGTCATGTTGTGGAGCATCGCCAGGCTACCTCTGACACCTCTGACCTAGTCCAACCTCCTTTTAGACAAGGAAACAAAGGCCCACAGAATGGCAGATGATTTGTCCGGGTACAGATAGCAAGTGGCAGACCCGCCCTTTGAACTCAGGTCCTGGGAATCCAAATCAAGCCCTGCGTCTCTATGACATTGGTATTACCATCCCTCAGGAAACGGAAGGGAGAGGTTAAGGCTGGGGGTTCCCCAGCTCTCCCCAGTCTCACTAACTGTGTGATGTCTGTGCCTGTGTCTGGCATCAAAATACCACCTTGCATTTCTCTGGCATTCTAAGGGATGGTAAGTCCTCTCCTTAATAAAGGCAAGTAATAATGTCCCCATTCTACAGAAAATGAAACTGAAGTGGAGAGGTGCTATCTTGGATGTGTCTGTTGTAGGATTTGCACCTAGGTCTCTGGCTTCTAAGTACGGCCTTCAAGGTTACCCCAAACGTGTATACCCTCTTACATTTGCCCAAATTTGCTGAAGGGAACCTACTGTTAGCTATACGTACATACATACATACACACACACACATATACACACACACATATTTGTACAGTAGTATACCCGTAGAGAATCGACCGTGGGAGGGGGTGAAGGGGGGAAGAGTCAGGGCAGCTTCAGTGTCACAGACATTGAGGGGAGGAGAGAATGTCATGACAGGAGTGGGAAATTAATGGTGTCAAATGCATCAGAGGGGTTATAGGCAATGAGGATTGAGAGAAAACCCCTGAATTTGACAATCAGGAAGTCACTCGACCTTCAAGAGAGTGCTAAGGTCAAGAAGGAAGCCTAGCTGAGTACAGCAAAAAGTGTGGTGGTGTTGGGTGGGGGGTGGGTACACTAGATTCCCTGTCTAAGACTTCAGTTCCATTCTTAACTCTGTGAGACAGTGGGCAAATCCCTTCATTTCTGTAAAATGAGGGAGTTCACCTAGATGGTCTCCTTCCCCAAGGTCCTTTCCAGCTGATCTCCTATAGGGAGAAAAGAAGGGGACATAAGGGGCAAGAGAGGGGAGATACAGGCTTCACTTTTATAAAGTATATACTGTGCATGAGATTCTAGCTTATTAACTAATTTTAAAAATACAGAAAATACATACTGCAATTTTAGCTTTTTAATGAATTTAAAAAAAACAAGTACATACTATGAGATTTCAGCTTTTTAATTAAACAACAAAGTATATGCTATAATGCAATTTTAGTTTTTAATTAATTAAAAAAAACCCCGTAACCTTTAAAAAAAAAATTGAGATCGCTATCTTTTTTTGGAACAAAGAACCTGAATCATGACATCTTTTTGAAACTGCAACAAGTGACAGGTGTATAGTTGAACCTTATGACCTATAGGGAAAGAACTAAGCTATGATGGACAGAATTAACATGAGGATAGAGAAGGCACGACACAGTTAAGCTGTTCCTTCCAAAAACTTTGCCAAAGTTGGGGCCTGGCCCCTTTGCTTGTAAGTACCCAGCCTGCTGTTCTATACATTATCATTTCTACGTGTCACAAAGATCTAAGGAAAGATTACACAATCCAAAGTTTGGTTAGCCTCCCACCGTGGACTATACTTTAACCTCTGACAGGTGGTAACTCCCATGGTGCACACTTGGACGTTACCTTTAAACTGGTAGTTACATGTACTCATGAGCAAATTAACCTTGTAAATCCTCCTCCCCCTCACCCCCCACGCACCCACTTAAAAGGGATCAATGGGCCACCCTGTGGAGGATTCACCACAGTACTTTTACAAAGCCTTGGATTAAAGATGACGAACATATAACAGTTCTATTGTAGTTCTTGGCAGCAGGGAGGGGCGTTCACATGATGTCCCTGAAGTCAGCCCTGGAACATTCCGGTGGAGTCCACAGGACTGTAGAAGTAAATAGCAGGACCTATATGCTCAGAGTTGGTAGGGAGAAAGAGGTGGGGGAGAATCCAGTTGCCAGGCAGTTGCATTCATGCTCAACCAGGTACATGAGGAAAGAAGAAATCTAAATTATATATATATATATATATACACACATACATATAAATATACATATACAGAAAGGGAAAAATTGAGGAGATAAAACCAAATCCATGGGGAAAAACAAGATTTCACACAACACAATGACAAAAGTCAAAATAACCACATAAATCCATTGATATTAATTTGTTACAAACCAATTAATCAGCATGTGATAGGTTAAGCCCAGTGTTTCTCGTTAACTCAAGGGTACAGCCAGATATTGAGGCTTTGGCAAATGAAGGAAGCTTCGTACTGTGGCAAAGATTTAATCATCAGACTCTTCATCCGTCTGGACCATGTAAGCGTTGAGTTCGGCATCCAGCTGCTCACGGGTTTTAGCCATGTAGGCATCCAGTTGGTCATCCAGCTCCTCTTTGGTCAGCACAGGCTGGC